AAGATCAATTGATTGGTCAAATTTTTTATATTCAAAAAATTATAAAATTAAAGAAATTTATGTTACTTTGATAATAATATAATTAAATAAATTAATAATTTTATATCATATCTTTAGAGAATAATAAATCATGATCTAATAAATTAATAATAAATATAATTAATATAAATAATAATAAACATAAATTAATATAAAAGCTTTATATTTTAAATAAATATTAATAAATTATTTTTTCAAACTAAAATTTTAATTCTGATTTATTTGATTAAGTTATTAGATATTAAAATTTATTTAAATATAAAAAAAATTTTATTATATATCTTTTATAAAAAAATTTTTACTAATAATTACTTTTTTTAATTATTATTTTTTAAATTTTATTATATAAAATTTAATTAAAATTAATATAAAAATTATATAATAAATAATTTAATTACTTAATTTTAAAATTTAATATTTTTATAATTATTAATTTAATTTTATTAAATTTAGAATATATATGTATTAAATCTAAAATAATTTATATAATTTAAAATTCTAATATTATAAATTAATAATGATAATATTTAAAATATAATAAAATAGTTAAAATAATATAAAGAGTTAATTTAGATTATTTTTTATTTAATATAAATAAATTATAAAAATTAATTAAAATCTAAATAATTTTTATTTAAAAATAATTATTTTAAGATATAAATTTTTTTTATATTAACTTATATAAATAATAAATTATAAAAGAATAATTAAAAAGAAATCTAATTAAAAATATTAATTATTTAAATTTGAAATTAAAAAATATATAATAATTATTTATATAATAATATATATACAGTGATCATCAAAAGTAATATAATGCTTAAATTTTTTACTAATTATAATTAGTAAAATGCATAATTTTTCTTATATATAAAAGTTTTTAATTTTACTAATAAATATTTTTTATTTTTGCCTCAAAAAATAGTTAAAGTTCTCTAGTTTAACATATATTTTTTTCAGATTTTTTACTAGCAACTTCTTCTAATTACATATGAAGTCAATTAATTTTTACTAATTAATAATTAATAAAAATTAATAAAAATTAATTAACTTCATATGCAATTAGAAGAAGTCACCAGTAAAAAATCTGAAAAATCTGAAAAAAATATAAGAACTTTAGTTATTTTTTGAGGTAAAAATAAAAAATATTTATTAGTAAAATTAAAAACTTTTATATATAAGGAAAATCATGTATTTTACTAATTATAATTAGTAAAAAATTTAAGTATTGTATTATTTTTGATGGTTACTGTAATTTTAAATTAATTAAATATATAATAATTATTTGTATATCTAAAATAAAATTAAATTTTATAATATATAATACAAAAAATAACTATAATACAGATAGCATAAAATAAAGATCCAAATTAAAAGAATATAATTTAATCAAAATTATTATATATCTCTTTACTTAAAGTATAATATTCTTGTTATATTTAAATATATAAATTTTCAAAGAATTTTTTCTTTTTTATAATATTTTTTAAGTTTTCAAGAGATTTTTGAGTAATATTATAGAAAGAATATTCAAGCTATTAAAAAGATATTAAGATTTTTAACATGAATTCTTTATTAAGAATATTTTTAATTTTATATTCTTTTTTATTATTTATAGTAATAATAACTATGATAATATATATTTATTAAATTTATTATTTGAATTATATTTCTTTAATAATAAAATTATTAAGAATATTTTCAATTTTATATTCTTTTTTATTATTTATAGTGATAATAACTATGATAATATATATTTATTAAATTTATTATTTGAATTATATTTCTTTAATAATAAAATTTATTAAGAATATTTTCAATTTTATATTCTTTTTTATTATTTATAGTGATAATGACTATGATAATATATATTTATTAAATTTATTATTTGAATTATATTTCTTTAATAATAAAATTAAACCATTAAATAAAATTTCATATTAATTAATAACTATAATTAATAAGTAATAAAAATATTTTATTAATAATTTTAAAGAGTTTAATAAATTCTAATGTGAGTTTCTTAATTCTTCTTTATTTATTAATTAGATTATTTATATTATAGATAAGGAAAAAAACTTAATCTTTAATAGTAAATTCTTTATATCTTCTATATTGATTTATATATTTACTTTATTTATCTTAATAAATCTTTAGTAGTCTTGATTAAAGATAATTTCTTAATTAATTATAACTTGTAATATTTAATTAGAAAATTATAATTTAATTATAATTAATTATAATAGTTAATCAAAAAATTATAAACAAGTTGTAGCTAATTATAATATTATTTTAAATTTTAATTATAATATTCTAATATTTTATAAATTCTTGAGAAAATATAATATTATTTTGTAATAAAAGAATATTAATTAGAATATAAAATATTTATTTATAATTTAATTCAAATAATATATATTTAATAAAAGTATTTTTACTATTATTATAAATAAATTTAGCTATTGTTAGATTTTCATCTTATCAATCTTATTTATATATTAAATATATTTTAAATATCTCTTTAAGAATTTTATTGAGTTTTTTAATTGATTATTTGATTGAAAATAGAAGATTATTAATATTACTAATTTAGTTTTAAGTTATTTAAAAAATAACTTTCAAAATTTGCTAATAAACTTGATATTTCTATTTGAAATTATTATTAAGAGTAAGTTATATAATTTGAAGATATTCTTAAAGAATGTTTTTGTGATATTAGATATTATAATTATTATATATATTAATATAAAATATACTTTTTTTAATAATTTATTAATAAAAACCTACTATTATGATATTCAAATTTTGATAAATGTGATTACCGAGATACACCGGCCTGATTAAAGTATCCGGACAAGATCGGCAACTAGAAAAATAATTGAACTTTAATACCGAGTTATCTGTAAAAAAACGCCGATCAATTATTTGTGAAATTTAATTAAAAACGGTGTATCTGCATCCAAATTCTTTGATATTTTTTTATTAGATTCATCTTGATTTCTAGGTAATGTAATAAAAAACAATAACTCAAAGTCAAACCACTTCAACACCATGTTCTGATAGATCTGAAATATCAAATGATCATGTAAAGTACGTATATACATTAACAAATTGATCTATAGTTTATTAATGAAAAATAAATCTAGAAAATATAAAGATACCATTAAATAAAGCAGGTTTTGTTGATTCTAATCATATAAATTTATTTAAAGTTAATATGTAAATTCTCTCAAAAATATCTGTTGAATTTAGTAAACACAAAAGTGATCAATTTCATTCAGTGGATAAATTTTTATAAAAAAGATATATTCTGAAAGCTTAGAATTTTAAATTATAAATCGCATTTAAATATTATCGGTATAATACATGTATAACGTTAATGATCTTAAGGTAGTTAGTTTGGCTTCATCTGCTATAAGATCGTGATAAAATATTACACGTAACTAACACCGGATCCACTTTACAAATTTGACATATCTCATCGTATCCTACCCGTTCAAGAACCCAACAAAAGTTTCACAAACTTTGTTAGTTGTAATTTATTTATTTAGAATGCACGGATATAAGGGTGCCTTAAAGATTTTACATCAATCAATAAACTTATTTAGAACACACGATGGAGATTTAAATAAAACATTGGAAATCGAACTGAATACATGTAAACATATACTGTATCACTGTTCTAAAGAAACTAAATACTGCCTCAGTTATTATTCCATATTCACCTACAGTTAATAAATTGGATAAAATCGGTTTATATAAAACCGATAACATGTAATTAAAATCCTAACCTGGTTATACGATATGTATGTAATTCTTCGTATATAAAATTAAATGATAGAGGTACAGAAAAATAAGGTTTCCGAAATTACGAAATTTTATGTTGCAACGGCAACAATATATCAAAAATTTTAAGAATTGCATGTTCTTTAATAAGATTTATCAATCAATCTACTACTTAACTATCACTTGTAATTTTGCAAAAATTAACAATATATTAAAATTTTGATTAAATAAAACTGTTATTTTTAGTACAAAATAATAGTTTGCTCGAATATAAACCTAATAAAACCAATAAAACTTGCTAATATTTTTCTACAAGTAAAACAAATTTTCATTTTTTATGTGAGAATTATATATTTATTGTGGCTGTGGGGGAGAACAGTCTAAGTAGACTGATTTGACTGAAAAACCAGGCGGATTGATGGGACCACAGCCACTAAAAACTTCAGTTCCCCGTACGCAGTTATAGGCAGAATAGAAAGTGTAGCAAGCTTTAGGATTATCACTGTAAACTTTATATATAGGGTCGGTTTCGTCAACACCGTAGCACCCAGTCGCACCACCCGTTTGATGTCTATAGGTACCTTCGTAAACTAAAGAAAAATGAGGTGACATTAGAATGTAACAGTTTTACATATAACGATAAATTAATAAATGTATATGACACTCACAAACGGTGCAAAACTTTTGAGCTTGAGCATAAATTACGAAAGTCAAACTGATAATTAGAGATAGAATAATAGATTGGAGCTTCATCTTGTTTTTGTAATTAGCTTTCAATGATATGTTCCTTAACTTGTGAAGTGTTTGTGTGGATGTGAAGTGCAAGTGAGGATGTAAGATGTCTCCTTATATATTAGATTTTTCATTATCATTATTAATTGATCGAAAAGTCCTATCGTTATTAATTCACAAGGCTGATATGTACATGCAATAACGGTAATATTCCAGAGGGATTTTCTTTTTAGCTATTTTTAAATCAAACAACTTGTTAGGAAATTGATAGGCATCGTTATAGTGTGATAAATGATTTTTCTCACAAGTACATGTACACGTACATTCTTTTTAGGAAATTTACCATATACAGTGGCGCTTAAAAGTATTACATCATCTGGGAAGATACATGTACAATACAAATGCCGGCAACTGGGCTAAAAATTTAGTTTTCTCACAAGTACATGTACATGTACATTCTTTTTGGGAAATTTACCATATACAGTGGCGCCCCATATGCATAAAAATAAATCGAACCATAAAAAAAATTCTTAAACAAAATAAACGAAATTTTAACCTGCCATTTAGTATCGCCACCCTTCACATTAATTACATCTTGAATACGTTCTTCCATACTTTCAATTGGCTTCATTAAAAACACATTATTGGTCTCAATCCAAATTTTGATGACCTCAAATGTTGGTCTCATTCCAAAGGTGTTCAATTGGGTTAAGGTCAGTGATTTGGGAAGACCAATCAAGTACATTAATATCATTATCCTCAAACCATTCATAGATAGAAGTTGTCATTGTCTTGTTGTAACACATATCCTTATTAATATTGTACAATCTGATTGTTCCTAAAAAGTCATATTACGATAAAATTCCTTATTCCTTATTCATACAATAATAAATGCATATTTTTTTGACGAAATTTAAATGTTTGGTTTGTTTTATTATGAAATAGTTTTTTTGCTTGATCCGTGAGAAAAGATTATTACTATATAAAGTTTGCTTTATTGTGCTTGTGCTGATTAATTTTATCAATTTTTTGGATGGAACAATTACGATTTGAAATTAAGCGTATGATATTTCATTCAACTAATCTTTAAAGGTTGATAGGTACTGTAGCTTGCTTTATTCTAATGATGGTGAATTTAAAAACTTTTTCGCGATTGGCAATAAAAAAGGCGTATCTTCTTGAAGTGTATAAATTTGGGCTTGTTTTCAACAGGAAGATACACCATAATTAAATTGTGTAAAATGAGATATATTATTAATTATGTTTTTTAAATATTAAGCACATATAGCTTTGTTGTTTTTGAACGCACATTATGTATTTTGTTTTCGAGTTTCATTACCAGATTGTAATAAATACAGACTAAACAAATGACATTTTATTTGTTTAAATTATATGAAAAGTTCACTTTAACTTCTATTATGATATACACTGGAATTCAAGGGTTGTGATACTTATATCGCTAAAAATTATCTCAGAATTTTTTTTTCAATGGTGTAACACTTTTGAGTGCCAATGCACAATGCATACAGGTGAAAAAATAGGCATGAAAATGCAAATTAACCCATATTTTTACCTTTGTAATTTTTTAGTTCATGTATGTGCTGTGCATAATTTAAAGGAAATAAAAATGAACATTTTCTAAAGTAAAGTTGCTGATACAAACAAGTTTTTCAAAAATAGATTCCGATTGCTTTTAAACGCTGTGAAAGTTATAATTATACTATTATCACAGAATAACGAAAAAATCCGTTACAAACGAATATTCGATAGTGATGACTCCATGAATATATAATTTCAACTATAAAAAATCTGACTTGGAATGGAAATTATTAATATTATTGACAGTTTAACAAAAAATTCGCCGAAGAAAAAGTTTGTACATCGCGACTTTCATCCTGCCCTTATATGAGTCCAGAGGTGCTAAATGGAAAGTATACGCTAACGCTGCAGATGTTTATAGCTTTTAAAATTGTTGTAATAGGTGAACGACTATTTGCTATAATCATTATCATATTGAATATATATGTTATGAGTCTGAATCAACTTCAGAATTTGATGCTAATGAATTCAATATACTGTAATTTACAATCTTGCCTATTGATATAAAATATAGTATATAAAATGCAGCTATTATTAAGAACTACAAAATTATAATATATACTTTAATTAGAAATTTATATTAGCTACATGTGATATAATGCTTTATATTGATAATTAATATTTATAAAATTAACATAGGTTGATTCAGAATCAACACAACTTCCATGCAACGCATGACGTTCTATGTTGGTAAGCGAGGGATATTGTATGATTTTTATTCTATTATCAATCAATTGATGCATTGCCTTTTTGGCGCAAGAACCAACTAATACGATGGAATTATAATTACGATTACGACGTCTTTACGAAGAGTATAAAGTATTTTAATATCTGGGGAAGAATTATACGCAATTGCTTCTTCTTAAAAAAAAGCTTTATGTAATTTTTATTATTTTCGTTATTTCTTGTTCGTTGTATTATTGATGGCACAAGAGCCAACCTTTTTATATAAATTTTTATTATATAAACACTAATTCTATATAATTTATTGTATTCTCGATATTATGTTTTAGAAGTTATACTAAAAATTAATAAAATATTTTGAAATAACATTTAGGACAAAAGGAAGAATTATAGTAAATATTATAATTAGTTTAATTAATTTTAGTAGTATGACCTTAGAAACACCTCAAGAACCAGAACCAATAGTAGAAGAAACCTCAACTTCAACAAATAATCCACAGAATAGTCCTAGAATAAAATGGTTTGTGGATATAATTAATACAGAAATTTTGAGAACAGCAATAAAAGCAAATGTTAATTATCAATTTCAACCTGAGCAAAGCTGGAAGACAAGAGTTCAGACAATATTCAATAACCTATTTGAAAATTGTGATAATCAATCTGATGAATCACAATTTATTAGATATTATTACTTTGAACAATTATTGAAAGAAATGTCTAGACAATATTCCAGAAAACTAATGGAACTACAAAGAGAATTGGCACAATCAAAAGGAGTTACTTCAATCAGGAGATACTTTCTTCCTGGAAAATGAATTTATCAGCTATTAGAAAAATGTGAACTTGAAAAAGTATATAACTTCCAATAAATTACTTATAATGATCTTGTACATACATACTCCTACAATATATTAGCAGAAATTCTAAAAATGAATCTGCCACTTTGAAATCCAATATCTCAAAATTTAATAATCCAATTTAAATGAAAATATTCTATTAAATTTATCATGACTCCATGAATCTTATGATAATATCTTTATTTAAATGAGATCACAAGATTACAAAAAATTGAATTCCAAAATGATTATCAGATTACAAGAAATTGAATTTCAAAATGATAGTTTTATTTTTAAAATTTCTGGTAATATATTGTGAGAGTGTGTATAAGAAATGAAAAAATCAAAGAAGTTTTGAAAAGAATTTAATAGTCTCGCTAGAGCTTGATCTTACTTAGAGAGACCAAATATTACTGTAGTAACATAAATTTCTTTAATTTCATAATTTTTCAAACTTGGAGAATTTGACCAATTAATTGATCTTTAGAAGATATGTGATTTTGAATAATATAATTAATATATCAGCTATGGATTCAATTATAATTTAACAATATTCTTGCAATATATTTGTAATATTTCAAGATTATAAATGAACAATTAGCTCCAAAATCAATAACAGTTCACAAATAGTTTAATAATAGTTTAAAAATACTTTTTCAGCTTGAAATAAATAGTTTTGGATTGAATTATTTGAAAAATATAATTTAAAAGCTTATTATTATAATAATAGTAATCTTTTTAAAAGATTCCTTTTCAAATTATACTAATATCCTTTCTTTCACCTAGTTTTATTTTTTTGATTATATAAAGTTAATTTTGAATTTTTGGATTATAATATTATATTAATTTTTAATTTTTGATATTGTTTTAAGAGTAAAATATCTCTACTATAAATAAGTCTTACTTGTTTTATTATTTTTGAGAGTAAAAAGATTAAAAATAGTTCAGTAACAAATTTTATTTATTTTTATCATCTTTTTCTTTTTAGAATATCTATCTTATCTTTTTATTTTACTTTATTATTTATATTATCTTATAACTTATCATATATATCTTATCTCTTATTTTTACTTATTCATTTATTGATCTTTGCCCCAAAGTTTGTAATTATAATCTAGAGTAATAAATAAGTCTAGATAGAAATTTGTAAAATCTCAAAAATATATAAATATCTCTATTCTAAGATCTGAAATAAATATACTTGAATAGTAATAATTCAATTATCTTTTGAAAATACTTGAATTAAACTTATTTTATAATTTTTCTTTAATTTTTGCCTTAATATCTTACTTTTATTTATCTCTTCTATCATAATAGAGTATATTCTGATTATTTACAAGTTTTCCTTGTCTGAAAAACTTAGATAATGGATATTCTTTACTTAAATTAAGCCAAGTATATTTATTTGATTTAGAAGATTCTTGTAAGTTTTCTTACATATAAAAGTTTAATTTAGCATTTGTTACTTTAGTTTAGCATTTGTTACTTTTGTTTATATTTATTGTATTTAATATTTATTATCTTGATTAAGTATTTGTTGCTTTTGTTTTTAATACTAATCCTTAGTTTAGTATTTATAATTACAACTTTATTTTTATATTTTTGTTTTATTTTATTTTTGCTTTGTGTTGATATAATACTTATAAGTATTAGCACTAGAAAATCTTTAAAATAATCATTATCTTTTTAACCTTTATAAATAATCATTATTTTCATAATCTTTATAAATAATTCAGTTTTTGCTCTTAAAACTTATTATAAATTATATTTTTGATAAAATCTACCTTCCAGAATATAGTTTGTAATAATGATAAAGACTGTTAGAGACCTATTACTAGAAGCTCAAGAAAAATAATCAAAATACATAAATCAACACAGAAGATTTGAAAAATTCAATCTTGG